TGCTTTGGTGAAACCCAGCAAGTCATTATAGGCATGGTGACAAATGCCTATAATCCCAGCACTTTGGAGGCAAAGTCAAGAGGATCTTGAGTCTGAGGTTAGCCTGTGTAACATATCAAGTTCTTTGGTAGTCTTAATTACATGGTGAGACCCTGTCTGTCAAACAGCCACAAAGCTCTATATTGCTACCTTGGCTGATGGGAGACCTGGGTCTTAATTGCCTTTACTATGTAGGCTCTGTCGTGTCTCCTTGCTGGCAGGCTGCTCCTTGTAAGCCTCTTTGTAAGCTGAGAAGATGGAAAGCTCCTACAACAAGCCATTCCTATGTGGCCAGATGAATCTAGACAGTTCCTGAGGCTTAGGGTCAAGATATTTTGCATATATACAGATATTTTGTATGTACCATGATATCATCTAGCATCTGTCATTTAGCCTGTGCATCATTGTTTCATTTGGGAGTATATCAACATCAGTATGACTGTGTTACTCGGTTTCATCACTATCATTTAGTATATGTACCATTTGGTATCACAGTATTTCTATCATGTAGTAATTGTATTATTTAATGTTGATGTCAATTTTAGTTACCAGTAACATTTAATACTGTTGTGTCACTTAATTTATACCATATACCACGTTGTGTTATCATTGGTGTAGTCTTAATAAATGTGTTGGACAGTGTCACAGAGGTAATGCTATGTTCCCCAAACCCCATCTTTTCCTCGGAGCATCCAGAGACCACCTGCTACAGGTAGGGTCCACATTACTGAGTTGTAGCTGGAAGAGCATGGAGAGAAGTGATGTACGGAAATAGGCTATCCCATGCAACTTTCCAAATGTTTCTTTTTATTTCTGTTAACCTGCTTGAAATGGGAACTGAAGAAAAGATGTTGTGGTATGGTAAATACCATTAGAAACATTGTTTGAGAATTTCATACCATTTCCTCCACCACCACTTTTCCCTCCCAGCATCATGTACTCTTTTTAAACCCATTGAGTCTACTCCATGCTGACAGTATGTGCACAGGGCCATGCCCTGGAGCATTAGCAGTCAACAGAGGTTGTATACCTGAAGCAAACTGACACTGTCCCTCCCCTAGCAGCCATCAGTTGCCTGTAGTTCTTAAGCTGTGGGTTAGGAATTTAAAGCCCTTCTCCATCCACGCTGGGATTTGTCTGACTTGATCTTATGCATAAGTCACAGCTACTTTTAGTTCCTGTGTGTGGCAGCCTGTCATGTCTAGAAAATATTGTTTCAGTGGTCCCTACTATCTGTAGAAGAATCGTCATGGAAGAGGTAGAAATAGCAGGAGCTCTGAATTTAATTTGGGCCATAGATGGTCTTGGAGTGACAGGACACTAGGTTTCCCTCAGATGTGTCCCCTTCACCCACCTTACCAACAGTGGACTGTCATGATTGAGAACACCCTGTAAGTTGCTGAGATTTGCGCTTGTCAGTGTGCTGACGGATAGACGTGTGAGACTCTCATCAGGCAATTAATTAGTTTTCAAAACATCGCTAACTTCAAGGAAAACAAAACACTTCCCTAGAAAACTATTTCCTCTAGTTGGGAAGAGGCATGGACTCTACGCTCACCAGTCAGTGTGGCAGGAGACACTGCAATCTGTTTGAAAGGCCCCTGTAGAGCAGGTAAAGATGGGCACTGGTGAGAATAACCCGGGAAGTTCCACTGAGTTCTGATTCTGGCCTCACCTTAGCTAGATGCACAGCTAGTTAGTATGAGCTTTTAAAGCCTATGTTTGGTCCCCTATTTGTAAGGTGGACCTTGTTTTCAGAACTTCATGGCTACAGTAAGATTCCTGATGAAATGAAGGCAGTAAAATTACCATTTTGAAGTTACAGGGTCAAAGTAATGATAGAGACGCCTGAGAAGAAATGGCCCTTAGCAAGCATGTCCAAGTTTGACAGCTATTAGCTGACTACTTGCCATAGGTTAGTTCCAGGTCCCTTGGGCATTGCAGCCTTCGGTCTATGTGGTGTATGAATTAGAATATATCATATACTACCCTGGGAATACATGGTTTACCTTCTTTTGCCAGGCCAATTAGTGATTTTCCAAGACAGCCTCGTTTACCCTGTCACAGAATCCCAGAGGGAGGCTTTTTCTTTTTTCTCAGCTGTAACACCAGCCACATCTCTTATGTCATAGAGCTGCATCTTGATGCTTCGGTATGCATAGCTCAGAGTTCTGAAATGCACTGTATCCTAGGACAGTCCCTAGAGCCTCCAATTCCTTTTCCGTACCATGGAGTTTTCAGGCCACTCTGACTTTTCATGGATCTTTAGCTGCCAGAGCAAGTGGATTAAACTAAGACCCTATTATTGTCAAGCTAAGAAAGAGCCACCCCTCCTGCCACCCTGGAGGCTTCCAAAAACAGAATCGTTAGCAGCAGTACTGCTTAGAGACCTAGGTATTAGCCAGAACCTAGATGTCCTATAGAAATCAAAGTTTTCTAGTGATGCAGCTTCACCTACAAAAAAGTGGACCAGTTGTTTCATCCTCTCCGAGCAAGGCTCGTGGGCTTTGATGTAATGGGCTGCACTGACTCATGAAGACACCTGGGAAAAATGATGTAATCCAAGAGACTTTATGGCAGCAGACTCCCTAGATGTCTGAGATAATTGGAAAATTCAAGGCTGGTCCCTTGGGTGCACATACTTTATCCAACAAGTTTGATAGAAGGTTAAAACATTTTCCCAAGTGGTATTTGGCTAATTCATGAAAACATGCTATTGTCTCTACTATGAGCCAAAATCTGCCCTGCATGGGGAAAATACAGTTACTAAATGTCAAGTTCCCGGCCTCAGGGAGCTCAAAGTCTCCAGATGATGAAGCCATGCAGGGTGCTACCTTCTCCTGGGTAGGATACTGACATTTTATACAGGGTAGTTAGCTCACTAATAGGATGGTAGTTGACACTAGTGTAGAAACTTGAAGAAATCAGAGTGAATCATAAAGTATACATCTTTGAGAAGGGCATGTCAGACAGAAGGCCAGATAAAGGCTCCAAGAAAAGAGTCTGAGGGATACCCGGCAGGGGCACCATGACTGGACAGAGGACATGGATCAGACCGTGCTGGTCATACATGGTAATGTGTAGTATGTGTGCTGACTTTGTTCTGAGTAAGATGGGAGGCCACTAGAGGGTAAGCAGAAAGATGTGACATTTTGAGAGGCTGTCTTCTGGGGGAAATAGTGTAAGTTTGTGTGTGTGTGGCGGGGGGCGGGAAGGTTAGGCAGAAGCAGGCTGGCTAGAAGACAATGACAAACCTTTCAGGTGGGAAGTCTTGGCATCTCAGACCAGGACAGTAGCAATAGTAGCAGTGGATGCAGAGAGCAGTAGTCACGAGTGAAGGTAAGGCTGATGGGAGTGCCCTGTGGTTTGGATATGGTGTATGACACTCAGGATGTTTCCAAGGCTCCCCCAACGTAAGGACAGAGTTGTGCTTTTAAAGTGCAGGAGAGGACAATAGGAGAAGCAGTTTGATGATGGCAAGCAGTGAGAACTGGGTGCTGGAAGTCGTTTTAATTTGAGGTGCTTACTGTACACACCAGGGGAGATGTGCTGGACATAATTATCTAGAGTAGACCTGGAGGGGAACTTGGGAGTCACTTTGTCTGAATGGTTTTTAAGTGACAGAATGAGGTCTTGGGAACAGGGAAGAATGGAAGAACTGTGCTTCAGCTCTCCTGAGTGTACAGAGAACAGGAAACCGCAAAGATGAGTAAAGGAGCAGAATGCAGAAGTGATGCCTCATCGAACATGAAAATGACACTTCAGGAAGGCAGAGCATGTTCCATTTGCTGCAGAAAGCTATCCTAGGCACTGTCAAAGTCTGACCTGTAACCTTAACTATAAGCTTCTAGTCCCTGTATCTCCAAGACATTCTCCAATGCCAGACATTCCTCAGGGAGGTTGGGGTGGGGCAAAACCACTCCTGGCTGTGAACCAGTGATCTCAAAGCAACAATGGTAAGCTCAAGAGGCATCTGACTCTAGGCCCAGAAACAAAGAATGAATAACTATCAACAACCAACTTGAGGGTGATGGGCAGCCCTGTCTTCTGGGAACATTGGATTTCGCTTACAGAATGGAACTAAAGAAAAATGTTTCCAGAAAAGGAAGAAAGGCAGAATCTTAATGCCTATAGCTACAATGTAGCAGCTCCAAGAAGAAAATGTGTCCTGTGGTGACCTGACAGCTGTCAACTAAGTGGGTCACTTCCTTTCCTTTACCCAAGTCATCGCTCCAATGAGTCATCACTCCCTGAGAAATCTTAGAGTGCAAACTTCAGTTATTGTATTTATTGTGTGTTGAGTTTACTGTTATATAAGAAACTAAGGATCCCAGAACACACAATGTGTATGCAGGGAAGAACTTGGCAGGGCTGATTTTCCCAGAATCCTATAGCCACTGGGGGCAGCCTGCAGAGTCAACACTTCCAGCTGTTGCTGGATATAGAGACATAGTAAACCCCTCTATTATCTGAGAGCTGTGAGGATGGGGGACTCTCCATCATCTGCTTAAGGACTGCAACAGATGGGTGAGATCGTTCCACATCATTCCTCCTTGTTAACTGTGTGTGCCCCACAGATGAGTCATCACCCAGGTTCTCAGCTAAACAACAGAATCACTGTAATTGTCATAAACTACGTACTAGGAAAACCACTGAACGTACACTAACAAAAAGTGAGTAGAACAAAGGGTTTTCATTCTCCGACAGGAGCACTTACATTCTAGCTCAGGGATAAACCGAAGAGCTGTAATACAATGGAGAGTAAGGATATAATGTCCTCTCTGCTCCATGATCTTTATGTTCCCATGGCATAAACACTTTGATGCCTGTATGAAACAGAAAAGAGCCTCCTGTGGAGCAGTTCGTCAGCCTGCCTCGAAGAGTAGTGCAATGGTGGTCTACACTCAGCTGTGGTATAGGTGAGAAGCCCACATACGCAAAAAAGCACTTGAACTCTGAAGTTAGAGAAAGCACTTTGTCTTTAATTCTGTCAGTCTCTTTGGAACTACTCAAGCTCTTGGGTCCTCTGTACATCTTAAGTCTCGTTGGCTTCAGATTTACCTGGCTAAACTTGAACCCAGGGAACCATCAGAGAGCCACGGTCCTAAGCAGACTCCTCGGAGCACTCTGCCCAGCTGTGTACGTGCACTCAGACTTCTCAATAAACTTCCCACAGCAAGACCAGTGTGGACGACCTGGGTGTCCTTTGTGTCCATGGCCACAGCCAAGGTACCCACCTGCATAATACAAAGGGAGGAAGACAACTGAAAATAGAGCCCAGCTCTTGCTGTACAAATTAAACCTGGCAACATTCAGACTTAAGCAGTGAAAATTTCTCTGAAGGAACTACCCATTTCACTCCACTTTAACTAGAACTATTGAGGCATCATGGCCAGGCCAGGCTCTCAAAACTGTCCAATGTGCAAACTGAAGGTGATCTAGTTTGCATTTTAAGTGTTAAATGAACTGGCTTGGATCTTACCTATACACAATGAGTGACATGAAAAACAAAGGCAGATAGTGGTGCAGGGCCACCATTAAAGATGGAAATTTTTTATTATTTTATGCACATGAGTGTTTTATCTATGCAAATGTCTATGTACCATGTGTATGCCTGAAGAAAGCATCATATCCCTTGAATTGGAGTAATAAACAGTTGTGGGGACTAGGAATTGAACTTGGGTCTTTTGGAAGACGCACATGATTGCATCTCTTGAACCCCATGATAGAATACTTTTTTAAAAATATATTTGGATCTCTTGCCTGGAGATCCTGCCTTTCCTGAGAGTCAGATGTTGCTCACTCACCACTTCCCTGATCCGCCGCCCCCTTTGAGATTTCTGTATGGTTTTTGGTGGGTCTGCATTTCACAGTGCTCAGACTGCTAGAATGTGTTCAGACTGAACCTGAGACTCCCACAAAGAAGCAGGAGGCCTGTGGACTGGTCACAAGGCCTGTGGACCAGTGAACTGTATCAAGAACTCATTTCAATTCAGAGCAGGAGGCTTACTGTGCAAGCACCTTGCCCTGCCTCCACACGTGAGGCTGGGATTCTAGAAGTACAGCCTTGGTTAAAACACCCTGTCCAGTAGCTGTGAGGCAGAGAAGGGCAGGACCCTTGCTGCTGCATGGGTGAGCAGGTGTGAGGGCAGCGACCATCCTTACCTGGCATAGTGCCACCGCAGGCACAGCGTGCAGTTTTCTGGCCTCCACTGGAGCAGAAGGCACAGCAGTGAAACACCCCTGGGTGTGGCCGATGCTTTCTCCTCACAGTCATAGTGAATGGTGAGCCCTGAAGGGTTTAGGCCAAGAGCAAAGAATGGCACCTCAGATATCAACGCAGGGTGTATGTGTGTGCTGAACATCAGAGCATGATAAGCAGGCTGAGTCACAGGAGGGACAGGGATGCAGGATAGAAATAGATCTCAATAGACACGTCTCAGCCAGATGGGGCAAACACAAATTCAGTGAGGCCTGACTCAGATGTGTGTTGCCTGTAGCTACTGAACCTCTGGGCACTGAAGACAGTTCTGTAGGGTCAGCTTCAATTTCAGTGACATCTGAATTAGCTTGAGGTTGGCTCAAGTTCTATGGCTTCTGCCTCCCTCCAGCTTTGAAGGAAGTAACCCACTCCACACAGTCATCTTGTCTCAGGCTTTTGTGTGACTGACTATAGTCTTTAGGAGTCTTGATGTCAATTCTAATTTGTATTTTCTTTCCCAGATAAACACACATGTTTATTAAGTATTGTAGTTGTCCTGGCCCCTGTGTAAGAGCCACATCGTATGATAGACAAAGAGGAAGCCTGCACCCTAGAAGACTTCCCAATGTCAAGTCTCCCACCATAGATTGAACCTCTCAAATTATGAGCCAAAATAAACCTTTTTCTCCTTTAAGTTTATAGATCTGGTATATGTCACAATAATGGAAGGCTGGCAGACACATTTTTATTTTTATTTTTAAAAAGGACCTGGTAGCAAATATGATTGGCATATCCTATAATTCCTGTACTTAGGAGGTCAGGGCAAGAGGATCAATAGTTCAAGGCCAGCCTGGCTACACAGTGAATTGTAGGCCAGACTACAGACTATAACAATATTCTGTCTGCTATTTCATACAACAACAAAATGAAACAAAACAACCCAGAGTTAAAGTAATAGGTTCAAATTCCAATGTTGATTACAGCTACTGACTATTAGGGCAAGGCTGATCTGTCTGAGTAGGATTTGAAGAAAATGGAAGTAAAGAATACAAAGACATCCAACCCATCCTGACATACTGTGATTACATCAGCAGTAATGGCACCAAATGAGTCTTCCCAATGCACAGGTCACATGATTAACATGGCCACCATGGTGCCTATGGCCATCAGTGTTGCCTTCTGGCTGAGGGAACGATTGCTCCAATGTCAGCAGAGATTTTCAAACTCCCTAAACCAAGAGGTGTTACACTTACTTGTGGGGAGACTGAGACCATGGTACAGACACACATATGTTCCATGCACTGATGGTTAGGCAGATAAATGACTGGGCAGGCAACAGGAGGAGCTGTAACCCTGCCAACTGTAGCCCACTCACGGTGTGGAAAGCTTGGAAACCATTGACTGTGTGCTTGTCTGCTAAGGGACTCCCCTGTGGTCAAGACATCTTCCCTGGATTAAAAATCCCAACAAACTAACCAGGAAGAGAATAAAGTGCAGTGTAACTGCCATGGGTGAAATATACAGCAGTGTCAGGACCTTGAGCACTCTCCAGTAGGGACAAGAGTCGCAGAACTGGGGCTGCGTCCATGATGAAGAACAAAGGACAGTTTATTTCAACTCTTAAGCAGCTGGTCCTATGAGAGACCAAGTGAGAGCAGGCGTGGGACCTTCCTTACCTGCACGTGCTGCTCTCTGATGCAGACCCACACAGTGTAGACTCCAGCTTCCTTGGGGGTGAAGGACACGTGGTATGATCCATCCTTGTTGTCCTGGACCACTGTTCTGATTGGGCTGAGTGAAAGAAGATTTCAAAAGGTCATTCCCTCCCATGAACCTGCTTCAGCTGTGCCCATCTGAGGCCAGAGTCTGTGGCATTACATCCTTTAGGTTTAATATGAATTATAAATGCCCCTTACACTGAAGGTAAGTAGCATCAGTTCTACTTTAGTCCAGTATCCTGAGAACCTGGAGGATGCTCCTGAGCTTTTTTTTTTTTTTTTTTTTTTTTTGCAGGCAGGTCTCTGTTGTACTCCCTGCTCTGTGACCCCCTTCTTCTTCTTCTTCTTCTTCTTCTTCTTCTTCTTCTTCTTAATGCCAGTTGCAAAGGGAAAAATATAAACACAATCCTGGGATAACTTAGTAGGAAAATAGACTAAGTTTAAAAAATGGCACAATCCTGTTACATATCAAAAAAAAAAAAAAAAAAAAAAAATCTATTCCAAAGTTTGGAATGAGGACAATCTAGAGGCAGCAAGCTGCTACACTGAGAAATAAAACTGAAGCTAAGCCATGAAGCCTACATAGGGGACACATTTGGTTGTGTGGAATCATTTTCTCATGGCATTATGGAACCATATGACGAAGGAGTGATGGGAGATGTTATTCTGTAAATATGCTTCTCTTATTGGTTAATGAATAAAGCACTGATGGCCAATAGGAAAGCAAGATAGGTGGGACTAGGAGACTAGGAGGAGAGAGGAAGAAGTAGGGAGGAGTCAGCATGTGGAGATTGGAGAGAGCAGACACCGGTTCCACTCTCCGATAAGATGAGACCACGTGGAAATTCTTAGATTAATAGAAATGGGTTAATAATTAAGACAGAGCTAGCCGATAAGAAACTAGTACCTGGCCAACAGCATTATGTCAAATACAGAGTTTCAGCGTGTTATTTGGAGCTGGCGTCAGGGTGAGTCCAGGCAGGAAATCCTACTCCTAAAGGAGTCCAGTTTTATCTCCAGTGACTCAAAGGCCCTGGTTCTTTCCTCACTGCCTACTACACATGACAAGTTTAACACATACCTGTCTTTTTTATCTTTGGGGACGACTGCCACCTGGACGTTGTCCCCTCCCTTGCCCATGCTCTCTCCTGCAGCATCCTTACAAAGCAGAGTAAAGGAGGCTGTCTGTTTCTCTCGAGCTCTGTGGAGATCTGCAAAAGACAAACAGCGCTCACTCACCCTGCAGGCAAACGGATTGCCCCCAGTTAGACCAACAAAGCTTGTGCTTCCTTCCCAGTTATTTGAACTACCCTGCTCCCTCTCGCCATACTGCTTGGGTACCCTTCCTGGAGGCCTGGGTAAATGGTTCAGCAGCAGTTACTCTTGGGTCACATGGGATTCTGCAGCCCAGGGAATCTCTGCAAATATTCAAGATTATTCTAGAAAGCCCTTAGACCTGCAGACTGGTATCCTCAAAACTACCTTCTGCAAGCCCCAGATCCTACAAGAATAGGAAGCTGATAATGCATCCCAGTTTGCTGCATCCCTGTTCTGAAAGCCCCTGCAACTCTGCAGCTATTGCCAAGGTGCTGAGGATTACCCACTGGCTACAGCCTGGAGGGCAGCATGCAGAAGAAACCAGGTTTCTCAGCCTGAGGTTGTGAACTACCTGGCACAGTGGAGAGGCCTATGAAGGAAATTCCTGAAATTGTATGCCCTACTTAGTGGGTATGTCTGGGAAAGATCGTTTGCAGAGTGATCTGTGACTTCCAAAGACTTAGAAATTCTTTGCTAAAGTAAAGGCAACTCTTGAATAAAAAATTCCCATTAGGATTGATCTGTGAAATATGTCTGAATAATATATTTCCCTTAGCAACAGAATACCTGTATAAAAGAACCATTTATAGCTGGGCCTGGTGATGCACCCCTTTAAACCCAGCACTCAGAGGCAGGTGGATTTCTGTGAGTTTGAGACCAGCCTGTTCTACATAGTCCTAGGAGAGCCAGAGCTACCCAGTGAGACCCTGTCTCCAACAAATAAACAAACAAAAGACCTCAACCTACCAAATCCTTTGAAATTCCAATGATATAAAGTTTTTGTGACCCAAAATGGTAGGGAAGAAAGGAAGCTGTGATTTTGTTGTTCCTCTTTGCTTTGTAACCTTCGGCATAGCTACCCAAGCACTAGGGGCTGCCATGTGTGTTTCTGCACAGGCAGATTTTGCCTTGTCCTAGTCAGTGCTGTCAACTCCTGTGGGGGTGGCCAGGCTCTATCACCCTAAAGGATGGTCCTTAAAATTCTCAGGAGCTTCTGCTCTTCTGAGATGGAACAGGCTCAAGCCTCACTCCAGTATTAACTGTGGCCCACCTAGACCAAGGGAGAATAAAGAGCAAGAGCAAGCCTTTCAAATTAGTGTCTCTCCCCTTGGTCAGGGGCCAGAAGTAGGGTACTCCTAGCTAAACAAGTCTCACTTCTTTTTTCTTTTTGACACATGCTCTTGTATAGCTCAGTAGTCCTCAACCTTTCTATGCATCCAAAGACGTCCTCAAACTTCTTACCCTCCTCCTTCACCTCCTGAGTGCTGGGATTATAGGCATGGGTAGCCGTGCTCAGTTTTATGTGGTGCTGGCCATCAGACCCAGGCTTTGTGCAAGTTAGGCAAGCACTCTGCTGATTGAGCTACACCCTCAGACAGCAGGTCACAGTGCCCCAGCCTCTAAATATCCTATCTCCGTGCTTGGTCCTCTCAGAGCTGATGGGAAATGTTTCCCTACCTTCTCCCTGAAGGACACATTTAGCTGGATCAACTTCTTTGGTGTTAATGGCCCCGTACACTTCATAGCCCCGACACTGGCCTGCCCTCTCCTGAGGACAGAAGCAGATCTTATCGTTCACTCCCGGGCGGGCGCTGTATTCAACTGTGTTCAGCTTCCGGAGCCGGTCTACCACCACTCCCTTGGTGATGAGGATTTCTAAGTCCGAGCCGCTGGTCAGCAGGTGCTCAGTGAACTCCACTCCAGTCCGCATGTCAGCCAGCAGCTGTTCCAGCTGTGCTTTCTGCAGCTGCAGAGAGTTTTCCTTCTGGACCCGTATGTCATCCAGCTGCTTTAGCAGCTTGTCCCGATGCTCCTCGATGGCTTTGATGTAGCCCTCAGAGAATGTTCGGACATCAGCTGCCACTGCCTCCACTCGCTCCTGGAGGCCACTGTTGATGGTTTTGATCTGAGCCAGGGCTTCCTCCAGGGCCTCCACGTGGGGCTGGGTGCCTCTAAGGAGCTCCCGCACGGAGTCTCCATGCTTGTGGATGACGTTGCTGGTGAAGTCATAGGGGTGCTCTCGGTGTTCCCCAACTACACAGTCCCGACACACCGGCCGGTCACAGAGTTCACAGAACAGCCTCAGCTCCTCTGCAGGGTGAGCAGTACACAGGATGGGCTTTCCAACCCTGCTGTAGCCTTTCAAGTCTTTCAAGTCCACCATGGTATGATACATCGTCTTCTTTTGCCGCCTGGGAAGAAGCACCAAGTGAGGGTATGACTCTAGAGGGAGACCGTTTGGCAAAGACGTTCTAAGAGCTAAACAGATTGCAGTCACATCCCTCAGAACTTCTAATGTCAAACTATAGGGTTCTCTTTGCTTGATTATTTTCCCACACAGTGAGACTCAGGCCTATCTGAGGACTGTTGTTTAGAGTACAATACACATATACTTGGGTTTGGCTTGGGATACAACTTCAAAGGTACAACGTTGAGACTATGTTCTGAGAAACTCTCAGAGTTAATCTGGTAAGTTTACACAAGAGCCACGGCCCATATCCTAAAGCATGGTGGAAGCCTAGCACCAAGTGATACAACCATGCCAGATGGATCTTTGTAGCAGTGAAAGCAGCCAGCTGGCTCTGACAGTCTCTTGTCTCCTGTTTAAGTAACGTTTTAGTAAAGCAATTCCTTTGACCAGTGTCCACATCATGTACCTTAGCAGGCCAGAATTTCCTTCAAGAGTCATGAGATTAATAGAAAATGAAATCAATGGACACTAAAATCAAAGCTCTTTTTAATTCCTCTTTTCTACAGCCTCCTAGGGGACTCAGGGAAACCCCTAAGAAAATACAGTGACTGTTTGTAGCGTTCCCTGGTAACACTCCCATCACCTTCCAGTGAACATGCCAGTTCTGGTCCAAGTGTGGCTGCAGAGAAAATGGGTCAGCTGTTGAGCTGGCAATGTGACAGTCATAGAGATGATCACACAAGTTAAAAATAGGGAGCAATGACAACTGTTCTGTTGGTAAGGCCAGAAAACAAAGCTGTTCTAGGTTAATCTGAAAACCTTGTATACTTGTTTTGTTTTCTATTCTGATGCACCAGAGTGGGTTGGAGGAGAAAGGGGGACAACAAGTAAATGATCTAATAAACATCATTGAGTGTGGTAAGAGACGAAACATCCCAATCACCATCTACTGGTCTGCTCTCCAGGTACCTCTATGAGCAGAAAGGCAGAGCCGATCAATTGATACCTGTGCCAAGAAGGTGGCATGCATTTAGGAAAAAGAACACAGAAGAGGCAGGTCTGACTTGAGGACTCAGTTGTGTTTACACACTTACTAGTTATGGGAACTTGTCAAATCACAAAATATTACTTTCTATCTTAATAAATATGGTGAAATAAGCACTTATCTCTCTGTAAAAGTTAACAATGATCAGATGGGATCAAGGGCAGGGTCTATGTTAACATAGTAATCCTGTCTCTCCAGCACTGGGTGCAATGATTGGTGATGGAAGAAAAACATGCTCTGTAAACTGAAACCTGTGGTGTTTTTATTATTACAGGTATCAGGCCAGCTGCATTAACTTCCATGTGATTACATGGTGTGTTGTTCTTTGCGGTTTGTGTAGGAAAGCTTTCCTTTAGGCCTACCCACCAGGGATTTGTGTCTTGATATCTTTGCACTCCACTCTTAAGCCACAACAGGTGGGGTATTCCCTCTTTACCTATGAGCCTGGCAGCAGAAGTGGCACAGATTGGCTTTGCAGGTCTGACACCTCTTCTCTACTTCTCTGTCGCTGCACAGGTCACACACCAGGCCCTGGCCTTCCCCACGCAGACTCTCCAGCATCACGTCATTCATGGCCAAGTGGTCTATCGTTAAAGCCTTCACTCCACCCAAGGGCAGGTCCACCTGAGCATCACATACCGGACAGAGGATGCCAATCTGTGGCTGCAAGCTGCGTGACTTGGGTTCCTGGAATAGTGACCCCTCAGAGCTTGTGTCTGAGTCACCCCCACGGATGTCCACTACTGAGAACGGTTCCAGCTTTTCCAGACACGTGGTGCACACCGTATGCAAGCAAGGCAAGAGCCTGGGGGCTTTGAAAAGCCCCAGACACGAAGGGCAGTGAGTCTTGCCTGAGTTCCCAGATGCATTCGCATCGGGGACTTTGTGCACGAAACCCAGAAGCGGCTTCCTGTTTTCTGACATCTTCCCCACGTCTGTACCCAGTATCAGAAAGAGCCCTGGGTAGTCCTATAATAGGTTATATTACCCAAAGACAGATTTCCCAGAATTTAAACAGAGACCATGAGGGCTCTCGTGTTGCCAAATAAAAGAGCGCCCAGAAAAAGAGGGTGCCTCTGAGGAACCATCCACAGATCTACTCCGGATTCGTGGCTGGGCCCTTCCTTTCTACTGCATCTCATACCAGACACGTCCGCGCCCTGCTCAATCACCCAAGTCCTCCTCGCAAGCGCTTCTAGATCTAGTCCCCAGCTAACCCTGCCACCACCACCCTGACCCCTGCATTTCGTGTCCTCCACGGCCACCCCCTCCCACCCCACTGGTCCCGCCCCAACCACGCGACAAGCGCGCCCTCGCCCCCCGGGCGATGAGGTAGAGGGTCCTCCGGCTCTCTCAGGGCGCAGCGCCAGGTACTGCTGCCTCCCTAAGCTGCTCAGAAGGCCCCAGAGCCGTCGCCCCTCCTCGCACCAATCCCAGCCCAAGAAGGCTCCGAAGAGTCCAATCACCGTCCGAGAGGGGTGGGCCTCGCCGCTCGGAGCCGCGCCGCCCTCCAGAGTGACACCATTGCCATCCAGTAAGCTCAGCATGTTCCACATCCTTGCCTGGCCATTCGCGCGGCAGACGAGGGGATGGCTGCAGGCAGGGCCGGAAGGAGGAGTCTGGGAGTGAGCGGCGTAGCGTGGTCGGCGTCACCATTTCACGAAGTTGAGCTCTGGCCCCCAGAGAGGCCTCAGGACCTTTGAAAAAGCCTCGCTGAGTGCCGCAGGTTGGGGTCCGCCCCAAACTCTTGATAGGGATCTCCCATTGGTGTGTGGTACTGTCAGTCGGCCGGAGTGTACCCGATGCATGCTGGAACTTGTAGGCTGCCTCGTCTTGTCAGCAGAGGCCTCCGCGAAGCAGGGGTTACCCTGCCAGGTCCCTTTCTAGGTCTTCTGATCATTTTCTGTCCTGGAATCCCTCAGTCTATCATGCTGGGTACCAGAACCCCCTCAGCTGGCTAATTTCTGGCATTTTCCAGGGTAAGGGTACCTCCGGCTCTTGGTTCCAGGAGCCTAACCGAAAAGTTTAGAACGGCTGCCCCTTGGAGCTCAGATGAGTTTCTGGGAGTGCTTGCAGCTTTTAATTCACCAGCTTAAGGTGGGAGGGAACATGACCTGAGAGTTTAGATACTTCTTAACCAGAATTCTATAGTAACGGAAGAGGGTGTGGGACGACGACAAGCAGAGCAAGTTTGGCAGCTGCTTTTACAATCAAGGGGGTCTCCTGACTAGTCACAATGGGACAGTGGAGGATGTCAGTGAGGGACAAGTCCTTTGTAGGCCCGACAACTAGTTAAGAAGGTGGGCATACATGGTACCCTGAGCATTATTATTTCTTTGCTCCTTGAAGAATTTTGTCAGGAGTTTCAGATTCATTCATATGGAAGCTGCTTCCTAAACAAGGGATCTGAATCCTTGATCTCTGAATTCCAAGAATGGTAATAACATGCCTTCTTAGCTACTGCTGTTCTCGTTCTTCAGTACCTTAAGCCTCTGCCTGTCTCACTGTTTTCCTTGTTTACTGCCTTCTTTATTTGATTTTGATCGATGGAGAGTTGTTTCAGGGACCACTGTATTAGAGATGTCATACTGTATTCATACAGTCGGAACCTACGCTTTTATGAAGTATGGACTCTAGGTAGAAAGGACCCCAGACTATGCAAATATGAACTTAAAAACAAAAAAGAATCATTTGGGTATTTCTAAAATATGTTGGGTTGAAGATGTAGCTTATTGATGAGTCTTTACTTAGTATGTATGAGGTTCTGTATTCTGTCTCTAGCATGTGTATATAAACACACACACACACACACACACACACACACACACACACACACTCACACACACACACACTCACACTCCAAAAAAGGGTCTGGTTTGGTCTTCATTGTGAAGATATTGAGGTCTGGTTCCAACTTTACAATAAGTAAAATACCTGCAAATGACTCAAAAGCTACTTTTATATAAAAGTCATGTGACTCCCCAAAGTAAGATGCCTTCAAAGGTCTTAGAAATGGAAATGGTCCTTACCTAGACTTCCCAGCCTTTTGTTCTCTGCTCTGCCCTGACTGACTCCTGCTGCACTCCAGTATACTGAAGCAAATCACAAAAACTGTGAACTTGGCTTTGCTATATATTCTTGCTCTGAACTTTACCCTCAGTGCTTAGCTATACTTTGTTTCATGTCTTATTCATGCCATATTACATTTCCCATAGTGGGTATTCTGACTTCTCTTCTTTGAGAACTGCTTCATAATTTATATACATTATCTCATTTAATCTTCTAACAGCGTTTGAGAGAAGAGCCTGGAAGAGGTCTAATGGTCAACCTGAGCTAACACCCGGGACAGAAACACAGTCTTATGATGTCATGTCTAAGATTCTGCTGTAGTCACCTCTACCCTTCCCTTTCTCAGCTTCTTATGCACACTGAGTGCCCACCTACCCTCTATGGAGGGAGAACATGGGGCTATCTGGAGGATGTTTTCACCTTCTACTTAAAAGACTACGCATCTCCTCCTCCTTTCTTAAGACGCTGCTGTTGTTATCCCGGCCTCTTCTGCCTTCTCCTTATTCGCTGACACTTTTCAGTCAGTCCTCTACACTTTCTACTGAGGACTATGATTGGGCCCTGAAGCCAAACCAGTCCTCCCTTGATCCAGTTGCCCTCAGCCTAATTCACTTTGGTGGCTCTCACCGTTGCATTTCTGAAAGGACAACCTTGTGTCTGTCTTCGCATCACTACTAATTTGGTCTCTTTTGTATGTAGACCATGAGTGACAGTATTGTTGGACTTTTCCCAATCCTCAGTCCTTTTAGTACTTGCCATGTGGTGTAGTTGGGCTGCTTTTATACTCACTTTTGCTAGCACCCCACCCTCCATTTTGTTTTGTCATCTTTCCCAGCTGTATTTACCCTTAAAGAGTTGAGTCCCAGACCTATAATTCCAGTACTGACTGACCTTTCCCCCAAGTTTTTGATATAATTGTCTATTAGAACTCTGCTCCAAAATATGACCTCATCCCCTAACGCCCACCTTAAATGTCTCTGAGCTTCTCTGATGATTAAACTCTGCACTCTGAATCTTCTGATGTCATTCTCCTAGGGGGAGCTTACTCTCCCAGCCTGAGATCTTATACTCTTCTTGGCCTCCTTCCTCGTTTTCGAGATCCAGGCAGGCATCAGTTTCTTTCCATTCCCCTTGCCAACACCTTGCTGCACAGACTTTTAAAGACTGAAGCACTCTCACTTCAAGTTGCCACATTAGTTCCTGAATCATTTTTTACTTCCTCTTTTAAAATAATTTGATCCCCCAGGTTAATTGTAAAACCATGTTAAGCCATGTTGACTGTCCAGAAGTCAGGAAGGCCAGGGAGAGAAGATGACCTATCAGGAGATCAGGAATGCTTGGCTCATCCAGATATTGACTGGACATGTAGAAGGGGAAACAGGTTCTGGCAGACTCACCTTTCACCATTACATTGGCCTCTATCAGTCACTATCCCTTTACCTCCTGATTTCTCCCGAGGACGTCTAAGTCCAGCCCCACCCACTTCTGCCTTCATCCCCTCATTCCTGGTGGATCTTTCTATGGGCTCACACTCATGCTTCAGTTTCTCCTTCAGGTCTGTGCTTCTTAGCCTCCCGTTGTCTTCTTCCTAGCTAAGGGTCTGGAGAAGTATAGTGTGGCTCAGATGAAGTATTTCCCATAGGCTCAAGTCTGAACACTCAGTCCTAGTTGGTAGAGTGGTTCAGGGACATTTGGCAACTTTTAGTTGGTAGAATATCACTGGAGGAAATGGCTCACTGTGGTGGGGTCAGTTAGGTTGGGGTAGGGCAATTCGAGGTTTTATAGCTGGCTTACTTCCACCACGCTCTCTGCATCTTGATTTGCCCAGATGCGAGCAATCAGCCTCATATCCCTGTCAATGCTGAGAGCCACTAGGCTGCCATATTTCCACACCACGAAGGACTGTATCTCAAACTGTGAGCCAAAGCAAATGCTTCCTTCCTGTGTGCTTGCCACCATGAGAAAAGTAACATAAAAATAGTCTATGCTTGCTTCTCACGTTCTTTTCCTTCACTTGACCCCCTAAGGCTGCACAGTCTGGCATTTGCTGTCAACCTTCCCCAGAAACTGCTCTTCTACAAATGGCACCAGCAGCATGCCACATGCTGCTTTTCATTTCGGGTTTAACTGACTGCTGTCGATTAAAACACAACTTTCTGAATCTGTCCCTAACCCTCCCTTGCTCTCTGACCATCCTCTCTTAACCCACAGTTGAGTTTCTTCTGCTTATCTCTTAAATGTTACTCGAGTTCTTAGCCCTCATCCCCCTGCTTCCCAGCCCAAAGCTTCCTCGTTCTCCCTTGATTGTTGTGGAGGTGACACTTGGGGTGATGTGTAGAAAAAGCATCAGTCTACTTGTTTCACGTGGGCTGGGGATTATTTTACTGGTACCACCATCCCCTTCATGAGACTTCTGAATTCAGAGACTGGGCAGTGAGGGAGTGATGTGGACAGGTGGCTGGAAGGAGACTAACTCAGACAAGGGAAGCGTCTGCTCACCGAGAGGTACATACCTCGTGCCTTCTGCAACAGCAGAACGCCAGAGTACCGGGGCAGCATGAGCACTAGTGGAGGGACAGAGTAGGGATTTTGACATGACCTTACCTTGGCAGCCAGCTTCATTTCTTGCATACACTACACAGCGTGTATCTGAGCTTCAGCTTTTTATAATAACTGTACCGATCGATCTCCTTGCTCTGGTTAATGTAGCTTTCCCATGCCCTCTGTTTAGACATCTACTTCTCCAGGAATCTTCCATTTCCCAAGTGTGTGCTACCCACACATGCTGGAGAGATTTTTGTTGGTGTGACACAGACTGGGTCATCTGGGAAGAGAGAATCTCTATTGAGAACATACCTCCATCAGACTGGCCTGGAGGTGAGTCTGTGAGCGTGATTAGTGATTGATTTGGGAGCTCCCAGACCTC